TTATATGCTGGACAATTTCCTCAGGGATGGAGAGAAGACTTTAGGTAACAAAAATGTGGTTCTACAGAAGGATACTGAGAATACTATGGATATGGCTTGTAAACAACAATGAAGTTTTAAGGAAAATGGAGACCAAAAAAAAAACAGCTGAAATTTCTGAGACACATAACAGAGGAAAGAAGGCTTGCAAAATTTGACACTCACAGGGAAAAGGGAAAGGTGGGGAAAATAGCAGCCCACTTTCTTGACAAGCTTATTTGAATGTTTGTGAGAACAGGGAATAGAAGGGATGGTAAAAAAGACAAATAAATATAAGTGCTACAAAAGATAAGAAGTTTTGACCGATTCATTTTTTATGGCTTATCAACCCTTTGTAGTTTAAAAGGGTCTACCCTGTTATATTTATTATGGGCACATGGATGAGTGGTTAAAACGTTCGCTTTCTAACCATAAGTCCCTGGGTTTAAATCTTACTATGGCCGATCTGTCAGGAAGATGACTCCTTCAGGTTATCAGTCTGGAGGAAATGATTCTACCTTTGGAAAGTGCCTGAAAACCATACCATGGGTCAACCCAAACCTTGTGAGTGAAATTGGGTAGACAGAACTCTTGGAAGCTGTCAGTGGTTTGGGGGGGGTAGCAGCCCACCTACCTGATGAGTTTATTTGAATTTATGTCAGAACAGGGAATAGAAAGAATGGTAAAAAGACAAATAAATATAAGTGCTACAAAGGATAGCTTTGACTGATTCATTTTTTATGGCTTATCAACCCTTTGCTGTTTTATTTAAATTCAGGAAATATTTTTAAATTGTAACCTTTTCTTTTGAGATAATCATTTAGTGAGACAAGTCTTACTAATTAACCTATTGCTGGGGGAAGAATAAGTGGATTCAAACCTTTCCCAGGAGTATTTTTGCCTATGTGAATATAAGAAACTTGACTGGAATTGGTACTCTGTTCTCCAATTAAGAATTCTGAGCCATTATCTATTATACCACCTGCATATCCACACTCCCAGCACCTGGTATTCCAAAGCAGTTACCCATCTAGGTACTGACCAAGCTCAACATTGCTCAACTTCAGCAATCATACGGGAACTGGTGTTTCAATGTAATGTGCTTGTAAGTCAGATAGGAAGTTGTGGATAGATGTGATGCCCATATCCCGACTGGGCATGACACACAGAAGATTAAATGCCAAAGCATTGAACTGATAATACAAGTTCAACTGGTTAAATAAAGGCACTATATATATATATATATATATATATATATATATATATATATTTATCAAAGATTAACTGAAAGTACAAATTTGGGGGTGGGAATTTTGACCATCCAAGCCATTATCTTGAATAACAAATCCAAGCCCTCGTCTTGCTTTATACATCTTTGCTTATCCATTTGGTGCTTTAAGTACATAAGAATAAAATTGGCAAGTATATACTAATCATGGTCTCAGAATCTATTTTTATATAAATGCTGCCAGAAAAACCAAGGCACTGAAAATATAATCACAAGCAAATGTCAGAGGAATGCTTTATGTCTCAACCAATAGTGCCAGTCATAGAAAATGGTTAATGGAACACTCAGAAAGATGGTTACTATCATTTCTTCTGGTAATCTGCAGCCTTTCCATGGCTTAAGTGTGGGAACTACACAACAGGCAAAATCTTTTTCAGACATCAGTACAATAAAACAAATTTTTGTAGCGAGTGGCTTGGCACAAAAAGACACTTTTGAACAAGCAGGCTACTCGGATTAAATCAATGGTCAGATACAAACACTGAACAAATACCAAGACGAACAGAGTTGGAACATTTAAAAAAATAAATAAATAAATCAACTACCAAAGAGAATGAGAGACATTCTTATGGAAAAACTGACAGGGAGAAACTCTCAAAACTAGTGGTTATCTATACTCTGATGAGGTGTGTAGGCGTGTGTATGTGCGCAACACACATACACACAAAGATTTCATTGAAGATGATTCACAAGGCACTACGGTTAAGCATTTTGTTATATTTTTCTTGTATTTGTACAAGTAATTTGATTATTGGACTGAGTATGTAAGAACTGTTAAAAAAAGAAATGAATCGTACAAATGCAAGAAAATTATAATAAAAGCTTAATCACAGTGACTTGTTAGTCGTCTTAAACCTGTTTTATATACAAACACTGAGGTCAACACCAAGCAGTTTAAAAGTATTCAAATACTAGGAAAAAAGAAAAAATAGAATAATACAAATGTCATAATTTGTTATCTTTAACGAAAGCTATATATATATATATATATATATAGCAAAGCAAGAGAGGTGGGGCTTTTTTTCTGTGAAGATGTAAAAATGGCATGGCCTACTGGAAACAGAAATCTTGATTTTAAAATGAAATTTTTTTTTTTCTAACAGATTTATCAACTGCCATTTGTTATGTTACTATGTTTGCCTTTCCTAACTCACTTGTCTGACAGATATCAAAGCATAAAGTAGTTAATATTTTAATACATACTTCTTACCTACTGTTTCCCTACAGTTTACAGTATTTAGGAACTAACTTTTACAAAGTTGGCTTGTTTTAAGGGGGGGGATATGTGGTGGGGGTAAAAAAAATTTTGTCTTTTTGTTTTATCCTTTCTTTTTTCCTATCACACATGGTGAGATAGGTGAGTGCAGTTTGTCTTTTCAGAAACCCAAATTTTATGGATTATACTTTTTTTTTAAATTTTATTTAATAATTTCAATAAAAATGACCAGACGATAATGTAGCTTTGTGTCTCTAGATGACTTTTCAACAATTTATTTATTGGAATTTAATGAAAAGTCAACTTTTTCCATTAGATTTCAGATTTCATTTCTTTTTTTTCTTTTTTTTTTACTGATTTCAACCTGGCAACCCTGCATATGCACACCCAAATTAGTTTTACTCTTGTAAGAATTCAAGTGAGATAATTTTTTTTTGTTCTTCAAAGAAAAATAACTATAACATGCTGTGTGAAACAAAAAAATATCTTTGGGTGATGAGACATTTATTACAACATCCAGTTTTCTGAATTAAATATTTAATTTTGTTACGGTAAACACAAACCTTTTCCCAAAAAATCAAAACAATATTTTAAAAATTACCTTTTAGCTACTCTGTGAACAAAAATACAACATTTTGGTTGTAGAAATCTATTTTAAAATAGCATATTTCACTTGTATGGAAAACTGGAAACCTGGACTGATAAAATTGATTTTTTTTTAAAAAAAAAAAAAAAAACAAACATGGAAAAACAACAGGATGCTTTATATGAATAACCCACAACCTCAAGCTTGAAAAATGGACCTTCTCCAAAAAAGAAATTTCTAAAATTTGTGCACAAGCCAGAATGGAAAAATTTCCAGAAGTCTGATGGCAATGTGCTTTTCTGTAAATTTTGTCATCATAATGTTGACTTCATTAACATCATTTTTTTTTTTCATTTTCAGCTTTTGTAACAAACACACAAACATCACAAAACTGAATCATTATTTTGGTAGTACCAATGCAAATGTAAACTCTACAGTTACATTGCAAATTGAACTTTATTCTTTATGCTGGAGCATTTTAAGAGTATTGCTCTAGCATAAATCATGCTATGATGTGTTGTTCTTGCAGTGTTATGGTAACAAATGCATCCATAAACAAAAATCAGTTCATTATTAGAGGTAACAATTTTAAGCGGGAACTTCCACAGTGTATCTTTGTTAATATAAAACATGATTATCTTTAAAAAAAAATTTTGTGTATTTTTTATATTAAGTTTCCAAATGAAATGGTCATGACATCTTGAACCTTAAAACTTTTCAGTGGCAAGTTATCAGGCATCCTCAGTTTCCATCTGTGAGTTAAGTACAGTCAAGATAATAACTGAACAGACAAACTGTTTAAAAGAATCAGAGGTGGGAGGGGGAGAGCTGCAGGTTAAAAAGTTTGGAGAAGAAGAGGAGGCTATAAAGGTCGGTCACCAATACTACCAAGTTAAATGGTTGTTGTCATCGGCATTCAGATGGTAATTTATCACCTGGGCATATTAATTTGTCTTGTAAATATCACAAATCATAAAAGGACACTTCATGTGATGTCTGCTGGTAATTTATTTGAAAGGAAAAATGCTTGAGGCAAGAGTAACAATGAACTTAACTGAGTGCAGAAACTGACTTTTAAAATCAGATCAGATGTTAACCTGTTAGGGCACCTTCACCTGCTTGCTTGTTCATCATGAGGTAAAATAAATTACCCAAGGGTTTATTTGTTATTCATTCTCGGTCATTCTAGCTTTTATAGATAATGCCTCATTGCCTTTTCTGACTTTTGATATTAACAAGATAGTAGTTTACTTCAAGCGAGACGGATCAACAACTTATCAGAGACTAACCTTTCCACAAACTTTAACCTTCATGCAAGCAAAAAAAAAAAAAAACAGTGTGTCAAAAGGATGGTTTTTATCTTGACGCCACTATTATTTTGACTTATCTCTTCGGCAATGTTTATTGCTTTAAAAAGAAATGACTACAATTTTAATAAAACCTAAACGTAATAAAAGTGAATTTATACATTTTTTTTGTTCTTGAGAATTGAAAAATATATATTAAATATTATAAGAATAATTTTATATTTATAACATCCTAAAAAGTAATTGTGTTAAAACTAATGCAATATTTATCATTTCTCCATTTATAAAAACATAAATATGCAAATAATTTTTTTATTCATAAATTTATAAACATTTGCTAAATTATTAAAATAAAAATAATTAAACTATAAGGAAATCCTGATAAAGTTTGAACCCATTAGCAATTAGCCAATGTTTTACCAACCATTCCAATAAGCAATAAATAATTTATCTTTTATCTAATAAAAAATAGTGTAAATAAACAATCTAATAAATCAATAGTGTATTAAAAATTTTAAATTGTCAAGTGATAGAAAAAACATTTTTTTTTTTAAATCAATAGTGAAATCCAATCATTAAACAAACCTTTGTAGTGTCAATTTTAACAGCATGTTTGTCTAATATATGCAAAGCAGGTTCAATTTGAGCCTTCACTTCAGGCACATGTTTGGACATGATACCCAGGGTTGTAGGATCAGGTGGCTGGAGGTACATCTTTAGAAGATGCAAGTAAACCTGAAATCAGAAGCAAGAGAGGACAAAAAGTCAATCATGGCATTAAGGTGTTAATATATGAATTCACAAAATACAAATTTATTAGCTGCTTGCCCATCTCTGTAATAGGAAAAACTTTCAAAATGTTACCTTTATAAAAAGATTTCATCTTTGTCCGACTGCCTTACATCAGGTGATCAGAAAGATGAAAGCCAGAGATCAGATGTGGCCTGCAAGCTATTTTTCTGCAGCCTGTGACCAATATTTTTCACAAATTTGAATAACTGTTTATATTTCTGATTTGAAGTATTTTAACTATTTATATTATTCAGACTGTTGGCCTCATCTTTATTGTCATATTCACCATGGTAACAAAGATGAGTACAACAGTCAAAATAATGTAAATAGTAAAAATTTGAATACGTTTAATCAATTTGTCCCTCATCCCTTCCATAAAAACAAACTTGTTTACCCAATGAGTAAATGGCGCAATACAATAAACCCACAATGTCACTGTTATAATAGAGGGGGGAGAAATTAATTTTGCCCAGTTTGGGATCTAATGAAAGCAATCAGAATGAAAATTTGGGATCCAATGAAGGCAATCAGAATGAAAATTTGGGATCTAATGAAGGCAATTAGAATGAAAATTTGGGATCTAATGATGCTAATTAGAATGCAAGTTTAGGATCTAATGAAGGCAATTAGAATATTATGTCTAAGCCTGAATTCAGTAGAAAAAAAAATAACTATTTTTGTTCATTTTCTAATCTCATATTCAATTATCCATAGTGGCTAGGTATAATGATGGACAGCTGCTCAGATTGTGGAATTAGAGAGCAGAGTTCAAATTCCAGCTGCGTTTGTTACATTCACTTGCATGCAAATACTTTGGGAAAGGCATGAATCTATCTCTATTCCCCCCAATTATGGGTAAATAGCAGGACAAACTAGGTCCTATAGTCTTGGGTGGCAACCAGTCCAGAAGGATGACTAAATTCAAAATCCATGTGGTCAGCAATTAAACAGGTTGGTCTGGTGAGAAGGATAAGTGGAACACCAGCAGCACAAAAATCAAAATCTGTTAAAGGGCATATGAACTCCTCAGAGTCAAGGGCCATCCGCCCCAACTATGAGTCAAATAACCTCACTAACCCACATTTGGCTCAGCCCGGTGAGTATGGTTACAAGCTTGAATACATGATCAATCAGGGAGGAGTCCCTCCAACAGGAGGGAGAAAGACCTGGATTTGGATTCAATTATTATATGCAGCCTTATTCCCTTATTTTCAATGAAAAATAGTCAATCACCTGTAATGATTAAAACTATAGCTGTTCAATATTAAATTCTCACACACTTCTGGTCAGGCTTGTCAAGTTTTTCCCTACCACCCCCCCAACCCCACCACCATCTGTACATGCGATGCAAACTAATTTTAATATGATTGATATTTTTGTTTTTTTTACAACTTATCAAACCTTTGCAAGTTATTTAAAGCAGAAACATTTTGAATTGTAAGAATTTTTTTTTGTGAGTCAGTATTGCATTATCAATTTTTTGAAAAAAACAATTTTTTACAGATAAGTCATACTATTTAACCCATAGCTTGGAGGAAGAGAAAATGGATTTATAACTTTCCCAGGAATTTGAACTTGGTTATCATATATATATATATATATATATATATATATAAAAACCTTATTGACTAGCAACAAGCAATCACTTTACAGGTTCTTTAAAAAGCAATCTGATAACATATTCAACTTTTTAGTCAATGAATTTCTAACTCTTTTGTTTCGCTATTAAATAACAACAGTGTTAATCTGACAATTTTCAAAAAGATTAAACAAGTTTGATCCCTGGATACTTTAAAGCCTCTTTGCAATTGAGGAAATTGTTGATGCAGTTTTCAACCAGCATCTTTAAAGCAATCAATGTCAGTTTGGAATAAAATTTATTAATTGAAGTAAAAGCCATTAGAATCTATACAATGTTGCTAACAATAGATAAGTCTGTTTATTTCCACTAGCATAAAATTCTGGAATCTTGAAAGCAATTAATTCTTTAAAGGCATTTTGAACTGTTGCTGTGTAGTTGTTGAAGACCATTTCTTGCAGGAAATGTTCAAGATGCTTGAAGAACTAAGTTAATTGCACAGCAAGTAAAATGTGTGAAGCAGAGTTTTGTAGCCCAATTTGTTCATTTCACTCACCATAAAGAAACATCCCTGTCTCCTGTAAGAATAGTTGATGCTCAACTCCATAAGAACACCTCACTGCGCCTTCTTGGTCTCATGTTCTCCACTGACCAGAGGTGGAACAACTAGATTGAATCAATTGCTGCATCTACAGCAAGGAAAGTTAGTTCTTGTCCAAGTTCATTCTTCACATCTACAAATTTACCATTCATTCATGCATGGAATACTGTTGCCATATATGGTCTGGTGTCCCCACTTTTCCTCGAGATTGTCGACAAAATCCAAAGACAGATATGCAATGTGATCACTCCTGACTTGGGGTCTCGACTCGTCACTTTCTCACTGATGTAATGTGGCTTCCCTCTGTCTTTTCTATAAATATTTTCATGGCATCTACTATGACAAGCTATTTTCACTGGTACCCTGACTGCATGAATTTAAGCATGCTACTAAGTGAGCATCTCGGTTCTACCTTTTTACTGTCGAAACAGTTAAATGTAACCGCCTCCTCTCTCACACTTCCTGACAGTAAAACTCCCTTCCTTTTACTTGCTTCCCTGATAACTATAATCTTCAAAAATTTAAATGTAATGTCAATCAACACCTTCTGAAGCCTTGATCTCAGTTCTTTTTTATTCTTTTCTCAATCCCCAATATACCCAGTCTTTTCCCTTACTTACATTCTCTGTAGCCCTTTGCATACTTGTGGCAGACCCACCTTGCTTGGGGTGAATTGCTTATAAAAATAAAATATCATTAGTGAGATATGTGGTCAGGCAATGTCATGGAGAAGAATTGACCCTTTTCATTTCATTAACCAATGTTGGCCATAAATGTTATGATTTGAATTTTTCAATTCCCTTGCAATACTTGCTTCTTGTGCTGGTTTCCAAGAGGATTCCAAAACCAAACATTTTCTTTCTGATGCAACTCTGGTTTGAGGAACTGTTTCAATGTCTTACTCGAACCATTACACAGAATGCTGTCAGCTGTGGCATCAAATTCATTTTTTGTCATTTGATGCAATAAAGAAATGAATCATTTTTGTTGCACAAATACAGATTTTAATTGCAATTTTTTCTTTTTTAACTCCACATGCTAATTCCACTTTCTATACTAGTTTGGTTTGCTCAACAGCATACCAAACTCTTATCGGTCATGCGAAAATTTAATTTCCTTGAGAAATATGTAAATTTTTCTTTTTACTGTTAAAATCTATTACTCTAAATTTTTACTATAAAAATGTACTTTTATACTTTCATAGTGCTTCCCTATAGTTCCCTATTCACCCAGATCTGAGACCCCAACAGGTGTTACCACCTCAGGTCAGGAAGAGCCTGGGAACAAAAGCAATGAAGAGGTGGTTCCATGCTCCTCAAAACCTCCCAATCAGAGGATTTCCTGCTGAATGTAGGATGCTTCTGTAGCAGTAACAGATCAATTAAGACAAGAAGCCACAAGAGCTAGGTCTAGCATAGCATAGGGGTATTTTTGTAATTATTTACATTATGTTTTTATATACACACATGCATATATATATATATATTTTAAATAAATTACATTTAAAAGAAATTCAAAGATACCCTATATGAATAGCTATTTCTCCTTGCAGGAATTAACCTTGCAAGGTTTTTCAATACCAAGGGGTTTGAAGATAAAATAAAAAGGTAGCTTAAAGATTTTTAAACTTTAAAAAAAAGGAAGGAAGAGGAAGGAAAAGATAACAAAATAAGAGAAAAAAATTTTAAAGAGAAAACAGAGAGGGAGAAATAACAGAAGAGGAGAAAAGATAAAACAACGAGAGATGCAGAAAATCATGTAGACAAAGCTTAAACACAATTTCATGGTGGCAAGAAGAGTTGGAAACTAGACTCCAGTTAAGTTAACCTTGACCTTTATTTTAAAATATAAATATCTGGTTTCAATAAAGAAAAATTACATAAGGAAATTCAATCCTTAAAAATTAGAGAAGGCTTTTATAATTATTATTTTTTTTAATTTAAAGAGTAATTAAAAGGTAAAATCTAAAATAATAATATTTATAAGAACATTGAAATAATAATTAATGAAATAATAAAGACTAGTTATTAAGTAAATTTAATAAAAATTATTATATATTAAATATAAATTAATAGGTAATAATTATCTCCTAATAAATAAATTAACAACCATACTTGAGTGAAATATAAATTAATTACTAAATATAAATTATTTGAAAATAATGATATGGAGTAGCAATAACAGTATAAGTATTAGGTGATAACAGTGCAAGATCAAAAATATTTTATATCAGTTTGAAACTACTTCTGTAATGACATTTGGAAACTAACTCATTCCTTTCATTTACTAATATAGTTTGATTGTCAAATTTAATAATTCTAATCTTCTCTTCTAAACACAAGTTACATCTACCCTTAAAATTACTGGTAGTTTGAGCAAAATATATGAATTTCCAGTCAATCTGAGGGTTCAGATTTTTCTCCCTCAATTCCCAAAATTGTTTGGAAAGAGTAGTTTGATGCTTGGGTTGGAAAAAGAGTATCTATAGTTATAAAGTCTTTGTTTCCATTCTCTTGTGGAAATCCCAATGTACATATGGTGGTTTAATCTGTTTTCTTTGGGGTAAATGGTAGTTCGATAAATAACATGAGAGAATCTTCATTTTTCCTTGTCTGGAAAAAGATTGCTATTTCTACAATTATGGGGGGATCCATGCTAGGTTTCTTGACACCATCATTGAATTTGTTTAGAATATACTTATTATGGGAGTCAATTATTTTAAACATGTTTTTAGTACAAGAATAACTTATTTTGATAGTTTTT